ATTTGCATGTCATGTCAAATTTTTTGAATCTACAACACTGCTATACAAGTATTGAAACCTAGGCACCATAAGAAAGTACCATACCACCTTCTCCGGACTCTTTCTATTATTCTTATAACATGATGCATTACATTTAGGATGCTCCTATTCTGAACAAAGCGCAATCATTGGGGCAAGTATGTATCTTCTCATAACTCATGCCCACATATCGCAAACACTTGTTTTACATCATATATTGGGTTGGAAGCTTATTACCCTTCGATAGCATTTTATGAATAAGTGAAAGAAATTCTATAAAGATTGTATCAGTCAACCTGCCTCTTGCTTTCAAATTAAACAATTTCAGCACAGCGGTTAATTTTAAAAATTCTGTGCAATCGGTGTATAAAGGTATCCCCGCATCAATTCTCAACCTCTCAAGCATTTCTGGACAATTTTGGAGTTCTTCTTCAACAACATTTGTCATCTCTTCAACATGATTATCCTTGTCTATATTTGTTTTGAAATCATGTGTCACATATGCATTGCTATACCCACAACTTCTATCGGTCATATCTCTTAACTCACCATGCTTATACCAACATGTATAAGTATAATCAATTCCAAAGCACACTAAATGATCTTCCAACTCGCTTACATTAACCCGCTTCAAGAGGCCACATTTTACATAATGGGACACAATGCTATTATGATCTGCCTTATACTCTAATGCAAATCTAATGAACTCCTTCACCCCATCTACATATTCTTTTGTGACTTTATTCGCAGACATTCATTTCTTATCCATGATCTCTCTTAATCTAACAAGAACAATTGAGGGAAATGATATTAGTGACTCAATCATATTAGAAGAGTTAGTTTAATAAATATATTAATTACTAACTCAATCAATCATGAGCTATATGCTTGCACACACACACACACATATCATCCCTCTTTAAGCTAATTAAATTTAGGATAATACTTACAATTATATTAAACTGATTGTAAGTATATTTCTTATGTGAAAACTCACCAACAAGTGAATTCTTTTATTTATAAATTATAAATAATTTATGACATTTATTTTCATAATTTCTTTAGGCATTGTATTTGAATATATATATATATATATATAAAATCCAAACAACATTATGGCCCCTATGTTTAAGATTAAAAAAAATTTAAGAACTTCAAAGATTTTATAAAAAGTGATTTATTTTGTAAATATTTTACAAAAATTATAAATTATTTTATGTTGGTTACAATCAGAAAAAAATTATTTTTACTTATAATAATAAGTAATATATATATATACATATATTTCAATATTAACATTAATAAATAGACTAAATGTTATAAAAGTTACATATCATTAATTTATAAAAGATGATTTCATTGAAAATTTCCATCTCTATTAAAAATAAAAAAAAATCTTGTATGAAAAAAATTGCATTTCAATTTAAAAAACACTAAAACAAAAGGGCCTTAAAATGCCAAACTAATAATTTCAAATGAAATTTCTACAGCATAACAGCATAAAAATAAAATTTTCTTAGGTATTTTGTCCTCATTTCAATCACGTTATCATCATCATCAAAAATAACAATATCATACACTATTTAAAGCTAAAAATTACATGTAAGTAACAATTTTGAGTAAGCTAAAATTACTCATATACAATTTCAATCACCATGAAACTTCATATGCTACTTAATTATCAATCAAAGAATCAAATGATAAAAAATTTTCATTCAAACTAATTAAATGTTGTTCAAACAAAAAATACATAAAAATTAGACAATAAATTCAGATAAAAAAGTAAAAACTACATATAACTCTCATCTATCATATATTATCGGTCTAACATGCATTATCAAATAATTCATAACTTAAATTTCACATGGGTTTTTGCCAAAGATTATTTTTCAATGAAACATTTCATCGAACACCTTGTGTGCGACAATAATAACACAAAATCAATATAATGAAAGCTAACAAACTAAAGCCTAATCAAAAATCAAATATGCCCAATGTATTCTAGACAACAATCAAATACAAAAACTAAATTAAGTCATTTCAGAGAGCAATCAAAAGATTTAGAAGAAATGAGAAGAAGAGAGGCACAACACTTACGGAATGACGCACTTGAGGACAGACAAGAGGGCGTAGGAGAGGAGGAGAGCACTGCAAACCAACACTGAAGGTCGTCATTGGTGAAGAAATGGTAGAGGAAGAGAAGAAAGGCATGGGTAAAGGTGAGAAAATGTACCAAATAGATCTTATTTTTAGGGGGAGATATGTGTCGACTAACTGATTCTATGAGGGCACCAATTGAAATCTGTTTATAGGGATAGGGGTGGTGTGCCGAAGTGACCTGATCTTTTAAGGAGGGGGATGCTTGAAGAGGTGTTGTGCTGCCATGAAGAGAAGCTCTGAATTTGTGAGGAGTACTGGTGCCGAAAATGAAGAGCTGTCTGGGCACCAAAAATGATGATGAAGAGCTAAAATGATAAAGAGCTGTGAAGAGTAAGGGTTAAAGGATCATATTAGATGGTTGAATTTTCAACTTTCTAATATAATCACACTTATTGGACAGTTAATTGAAGTAGCCATCCAATAATTTTTTTTAAATTTTTTTACGTGTTAAAGTTGAGCATATTGGACAATTTAATTTTCAACCGTCAAATATAATCTTATCTTATTGGATGGTTATTTAAATTAACTGTCCAATTTGTTTTTTTAATTTACTTTAAAATGTTGACAGATTTGAAGATATATTGGATGGTTCGTATAATAACCGTCCAATATATTTAATATATTATATGCTTATTTTATGAACCGTCTAATATAATCACTTATTGGATGGTTGTAGATATAATTGTCTAATAAGACCTGTCATTTATCTTACTTTCTATAGTAGTGCTTGCTAATCTTACCATCACCATTTATTTTTAACTTATAATCTAGAAGAATACAATACAAAGAAGATCTTTCCTTGCATTTACATTGTCCTTTGTCTTACTATTGACATCCATGACAGTGTTGAATATGCTATCAAACATATATTTTTTTCTATGTGTATCACATCAAGATTATGTCTCATAAGATTATGTGCCAATATGACAACTCCCAAAATATACTCAATTTGGTCCAATTGTGTTCATCCCCAAAACTTGAAAGCAAGTTAGTCCCACTTTTTCTATATTAAGGGAAAGTAACACACTTTTTCATAAACTTCTTCACTTGATAACCTTTTTGGAAGAGTTGATTTCTCAACTTTACCTTTTTTTAAGGACTTCTTACCCTTTCAAAAAGGATGTTCACTTGGTAAAAATTGATTACAACAAAAAAAAAAAAGGATAGCTTCCTCCCTTCTTTCAAGTAAAGCGCTTTACTTTGATCTGTACATATGGGGCAAGATAAAACACCATGTGTGCTTCATCTAGATAACATTTCATAAACAGGAAAGTCATTTATAGACCATACAACAATAGCTCATAATTGGAAGTTTTGTTGCCTAAAAGAATTATATGTTTCTACACCAACCTTCCACAATGTATTCAACTCTTCTATTAGAGGTTGTATGTATAAGTCTATATTTTGCTTAAGGCTCTTTGGACCAAAAATGACAAGAGTTAAGAATATGTAAGGGGTGCTCATGCACATTCTTAGTGGACGGTTATATGGTGTGACAATTATTGGCCAACAAGAATAATTATGTGACATTTGTCCATAAGGACTAAAATCATCAAATGCAATAGGTTCATGATATGCGATCACCCATGAAGAAAATTGAAATAGTGTTTTTATTAAAAAAATGAGCAAATTTGCACAATATCCATATATGTTTTCATAAAGAATAAGCAAATTTTCAGGAATCTTCTTTCATGATATGCGATCACCTGTCAAGAAAATACAATTTTTCTTCCATTTATTCATATAACCATTTTGGATATTTTGAAAATCTTGCACTTTATGTCATGCATGTTTTAGGACCATATGCAGATATTTTCAACTATATGCAACTTTTTTTTTCATGATATGTAACCAACCGTTAAGGAAATATAATTTTTCTTCCATTTATTCGAATATGCAAAAGTAACATTTGAATTATCACTTTTTTTGCATTTATTTGAATATTACATATGCGATTCTTCTTTCTTCATATGCAACCACCCTTGCAATTTTTTTTAATTTATTTGAATACGCAAAAGTGATATTTAAATATACGAAAGAAACATTACATCTGCTTCAAATGTGCTTTAAGGCTCAATAAATTGCCACCCAAGGACCTTGTTTGATATATTGACACTAAAGGACCTTGTATTAAGTATTGGCATGAAATTATTAACAGCGAAGGACCTTGTAACATATTAATAGCGAAGGACCCTACTCCCTTTTGCTTATTCTTCTTCTTGTTTTTTTTTTTTTACAGCAAGAGCATTTATATCATTTAGCCTTTAGCAATTAATATCAACAAAAGACCCAATTTTAGAATCTTACCCAAGACCTTCTTAGCAAATAAATTTGTGGTGAGGTTTTTTTGAACAATTTTTTTTAAGTTTTATTCCAAGCTAGTCACATATATAAATTCATTTTAGGGGTTATATATAATAAATACAGCAACTACGCCCCTCTCCACCGCAACCTAGGCTTCCTCTTTCCTTTCTGAAACTCCCCAGTTCGCTCATAGTTCTAAGAAGGTATTCTACAGTACTCTCTCTTTTTGGATTTCAAAGTTCACTTTCATTTTCTTTTTCTCCTGACTCTCTGTTTCTTGTTTTTTTTTTTTTTAGGCCATTTCTGCTCATACTCATAGCATCAAGTTATCTGGTTTTTTCCCCCCAATTTGGTGAACTTCCCATGTATTCCCATAATTAATTTCAACCTATCTCTCCAGAAAGTAGAAAACTACCCATACCTTTTCAGTTCATATATATATATATATAGTACTCTATAATTTCTCTGAGGTATTTCCTGATTTATATTTTTACAGAGAGGATTGAAGAATATTAAAGATGGTGAGAGGGAAGATGGAGATGAAGCGTATAGAGAACGCGACGAACAGGCAGGTGACATTCTCAAAGAGGCGAAATGGACTGTTAAAGAAGGCCTTTGAGCTCTCAGTTCTGTGTGATGCTGAGGTTGGTCTCATCATCTTCTCCCCCAGAGGCAAGCTGTACGAATTTTCAAGCTCCAGGCACGTATATGTGTTTGTTGTATATTCTTCAGTCACACACACAAAGTTATGGTTTGTGTGATTGCTTGATGATCTGTATTATCTTATTTCACTAATTAATTTATATTTTCTCAGTTTTTAAATATAAAAAAAACTATTGCTTATTGATTTGTTTCTTATAAACAAAATTACATATTTTAACAAATATTTATTATAATTTTTTTAAATCACTCTTCATAGAACTTCATCATTTTCATTTACTAGACAAATAATTTTTACTAAACAAGGTACTTGGATTTAGCTCGCGATCATATAATGAAATTTTCCTTTTAAGGATCGAGTAGGTAAACTCAACTACTGAAGGGTGGTGGATTCTGTGTCTTAACAAGTCTTTATCACTGAAGTGGGAATTTGAATTCTTCTTTTGTCAGATTATAAATTGCTACGGTTTTATCAATCTAACTGAGTTATTTTATCCACAAAATACCAATTCAGACACCATTATTAAAAGTATCATATCTCCTCCACTTTTTTGGGGCACTGCAATTAATAAAGATCATTTACTCTTTTATCTTTACTATAAGGTAAGTTTGATCATTTTTGCTTATTAAGTTCATCATAAAAAAATGTGCTTATTAAATAATGTATCATTTAAATTATTAAAAATGGTGTACTTTTTAATTTTATATTTTTTATAATTAATAACTATAATAAATTATTGTCTGAAGAATTCAAACCATAATAAATAACAAGTAATAAAACTAAAAATAATTATTCTAATTTTATTTTATATTAATAACAAATAAAAAAAATAAAAATTTCTTTTATATCAAAGATAAGGAGGAGCATTATAAGATAAGTCAGGACCTATTTTATGTTTTGTTGTGACTTTGTGTTTGTAATGACTTTTTTTGAGATTTAAAAAAATATAAGTTCTTTCTTTCTTCTTCTTCTTCTTGTTTTTTTTTTTTTTTTTTTTTTTTTCGAGTAAAGAAAGAACGCCTTGCGCGTGGGCAAGCAAATTCTAGTTATAAGTAGGTTCACTTCCCCATGCTGGGAGGAACTGAGATATTGATGACGTGTGGTGTCTTTTAAAAAGTGTGCTACCTCTGTCTTATAATACTTTTAAATAAAATTCCACATTTTAATAAAATTTATTAAATATATTTTATTATTTTATTTTTTAAAATAAAAATATAAATTTTTAAAAATATTTTTATTTAATATTACATTAATAAAATAATATTAAAAAAGATCGAATATATAAAAAGGGTAATATTAAAAATGTATGATTAATAAAATTTTATTTTTATTAAAATGTCTTATATTTTAAGACATTAAATCTTCTCTAAAAGTGTCTTATAATTTGGGATGGAGAGAATATAAATATTTTTATATATTTTTAAGTATCATTTCATTAATTGATTAAATGTATTTTTCATTAATTTTTAGAGAAGGTAAAAATATTTTTTTATTTATATTATTACTATAATCTAATTTTAATTTTTGCTTTATTCAGTTCCATGAAATAAAAAAACTTGGAAAGCCATTGCATTGCATGGCAGGATAAGGTGTCAATTTCTTCTCTGTTTAGCATTTTGTTTCTGTCTGGTCAATATATGTTAACTATGTCCACTAATGGTTTCTTGTATACTAATACAATTATAATTATAAATATAATAATTAGTTGAATTTATTGTGACAAAAACAATGCTTAAAATTGACTTCACTAATTTATATAAAAATGAACCTTACAGTACATATATAGTAATATGGCAATCCGTTGTCATTTTTTGCATACCATTATAAGTGACCTTTCATACTCATATGTTCATTACTCCTCTAATCCTATTTATAAGGTAGAGAAAAAGATTTGTTTTGATACTATTTACAGGGCACTTTAATAATTATTTTGTTTATCTTTAATCTTTTACCCCTATTCAATGTTAAAAAATCACTAAATGTTAGAGTATTTTATATTTTTAAAATAGGTATATTTAATAGGGGTAAAATTAAAAACTTATTAAATTTTAAGATAGAGTTAATAAATTTAAAATTTTTTTGATTCTGGTAAAAATATTGAAAGTGACTTATAAATAAAAAGAAAGAATATATTAATTTGAGCTTAATATTTTTAGTTAGATATCTATCTCATTTGTATCAAAGATTTTGTCTCTTGTGTATAATGACAATTCTCCTGTAGGCTATCTAAAGTTTAAGGGAAAATATAATTTTTGATCATTATAGTTTTATTAGGTTTTGTTTTTAGGCTCTATAGTTTTTTTTTAGTATTTGCAGTTTCTATAATTTCAAAAAGATTGAGTGAATTTTGTTTTTCAAATTAAATCCCTATAATTTTCATTTTTTGAATGGTTTTAGTCTTTATAGAGAGTAAAAATACTGAAAAAAATTACAAAAACTAAAAGCAAATCTAATAAAACTATAGAGACCAAAGATTATATTTTTTCATAGCTTAATTTCAATTTCAGATCACATCTAGTAGAGATTATTTATGTTAGAGCCAAAAAGTGGTATCTTATTACAGAATTGTTATCTCTTCTATAACTTTTTCGTCCATCGAATCAATGATCATATGCATAAACCTTAATCAATATTGTATAAATAATGAAACTGATGACCAACCTAGGAGGATTATCTCAAAATTTATTGTCCATTTCAAAATTTCATTTACGTTTGGATGGAGGGAAAATAGAGAAAAAATTGAGAATACTGGCTAATGAAACTTCTGAAAATAGTATTCACCCTGGTCCAAAATATAAACAATAATTTTCTATAGAATCTTTATTGGCATGAAAATATATATTGTTTTTTTTTTCACTCTATAGTTTGGGTTCCAATTCATGATGAGTGAGAAAATGGGTCATAAATTTACAAACACAAGAATTTAGGTTAATAAATAAATGAGATAAAATGGAAAAAATTTACAAATTAAATACCAAGTTCCTTATAGTTTGAAGAGAAGGGAGTAAATTTTTTTTTTTTTACTATAATTCTCATTCCCTAAGAAACTACCATTTATTCAAAGATTAAATTAACTAGGCCGTATCTGATATCTTTTACTGCAAATACTTAATTGCTTCGATTCTACAGCTTGCAAGAGACAATTGAACGGTATCGTAGTTATACGAGAGATGCTCAGACAGCCACCAGATACATGGAACAAAGCATGCAGGTTTTTAATTTTTTCCTCTTCTTTATCTTTCTCATTATGCGCATGCATTCTACTGAATGTTACGTACTTATCAAAGAAACAAGGCACAAAGAAATAACACACGATCTATCCAACACTAAGCTGTCATGAGTTTTACATTAGAGAGCCTCACAAGTAAGATAAGGTTTGCATGGATGAGGGGCTTTCTTTTGGTATGTGCTCTTTTGATCTTTCAAAATTGTGACCATGACATTGATGTTTTCATTATGAGGTCAGTGTTAGTGTCATGGATAGAGAAGGTGGCATTGTCACAGCTCCCAAAGAGCTTTACAAGTAGAATAGAGTTAATATCTTGAAAACATTTTAAAATGATGAATTCAGCAATAAAGAAGGATCAATGATTGATATATACATCTCTTCAGAACTTAAGCTTAAGATTTCATGTCCTAAGCGAGGCCAAACATGTAGATAAATAACGCATTAAAAAATCAGCACATTTGTTGATGAAAAAGGTTTTTTAAAAATTTTTGAATAATTATGAAGGACGGAGAGGACTTTAAAAGATTAAGTGAAAACGAGATTTCACCTGAATTAATGCTCATTGTTTTTTAAAAATCTATGATTTGCTTTGAACGTTTCGACAGCATTTCATCCTCATTGTCTTTGTGTATAAATTAGTTTTTGTTGTATTAATTTGTTGCTGATGTTTGAATGGTATCGTGTGTTGTCAATGGCAGCTTTTAAAGGAAGAAACAGAAATTATGATGGAGAAGGTTCAACTTCTTGAAGTTTCAAAACGGTTCTGTGCCAACACTTGAACTTCAATTATTTGAAAAAAAATTCTTTAAAATTGATGTTAAAATGGATTGATCATCACAAAAATAACGTTTTGCTCTTGTAAAAAATTTCAATTACTCAGGAAATTCTCGGGAGAAGAGCTAGGCTCATGCTCGCTTCAAGAACTAGAAGAGATACAACTGCAGTTGCAAAAGAGTGTAAGCAACGTTCGAGAAACAAAGGTTATCATTGACTTGATAAGTATACAGAGTTTTACTATGAAAATATTGTTAATTTTATACCTAAATCTCAACTTTTGTTTGTCCAGGTTCGGACTTTTTTAGAACAAATGGAGCGACTAAGAGAAAATGTATGCTGTTCACATTAATTGAGATGGTGGTTTAATACTTGAATATGATTTTGCATTTAATGTTGGGAAAATATTGGCTGAGGACCACTGAAGAAATTTTATATTAGTCAAGGACCTTAAGGTTCTGATATTGCATTGCACCCCATTGTACTTATGTGAAATAAATTTTTATGGAAAAAGATCTAATTACCTCTAAAGTTCTAAATAAAAACCTTTTAGGTTTTGACAATAATTTATTCATAATTAACAATTCATTTAAAAATGAATAAATTATAAAAGCTGATAGAACATATTGAATTGAGTAGGTGTTAATTCTGTATAAATAAATATCTATTCAGGTTTTGATAACAATTTATTTTTTATTAACAACAAATTTTTGGTCTTTTCATTAACCGAGGTAATTATGTCTTTTCTCATAAAACTTTATTTTTAGATAAGTATCATGGGGTTGTAATGCAATATCATAATCTTAAGTTTCTCAATTGATATAAAATTTCTTCAAGGGTCCTCAGATGATATTTTCCCTTTAATTTTCTTGTCCTTGTTGTGATATCTGTAAAAAATTAAAAAAAAAAGAAGAAGAAGAAATTTTTGTTAACTTTCTAAATCAGTTCTACTTCAATGGAAATCTACTCTGCATTCACAAAAATAATGTAGTTCTACTTCTACATCTAATCATTGTGTTTTTTTTTTTTTTTTAATATCTACCCATCACGCTACCTCATTAGCCCATTAGGTGGCAACTTCATAGGTGTCTCTGGATCTAAAATCAGTTGGTTTCAAATTGATAGATGTTCTTACATATATATGTATATATATGAATTTGACTCCATGGAAAGATTTAATGCCACAAAATGCTGATTCGTATTGTTGCAATACAGGAACGAACTCTTACAGCAGAAAACGCAAGGCTCTGTGAAAAGGTATATACACTGTGCTTTTTGTCAAACCTATAAAATAATGCTCGTAATATTATTTCATCAGTTTGTAAGTGAATATTTTACTGTGCAGTATGGTATCGAGCTGTATCATCAGACAACAACAGAGAATAAAAGCGAAAATCCAACCTTCTCAGAAAATATTCCAACTTTAGATGTGGAAACTAACTTGTTCATTGGACTCCCAGAATCAAGAACAACATGCATTCCTCATAACACTCCTGAGGTCTAATTGATGCAATCATGTGCTATCTTCAGCAATGTGTGTGTGTGTGTGTTAAGATGCTTACTATGAAGACTCCTAATGGTGATTCTGAAAGAAGATACTACTATTTGTGGTTTATATATGGAAATATATTTTCTCATAGATATGGGCTATGTATCTATATAAGAAAGAGGAGACGAATGATCCTAATCGAGGTTGGCTAATTAAATTGCAAGGTTGAAAATGGCCACAAGCAGACTACAAGAGTTAATATATTTTAATTTTATTGTTTGGGTAGCAGTGTTTGCTATTTCTATGCTCAATATTATAAGTTACCCTATAATGGATATGATAAATAGGAACAGATGCCATATTAAAACTAGATGTGTGTGTAATGTAAATATCTTTGCCATGTGAATAAAGTCAGAATAAAGAAGATATAGAAGGACAAGAAAGAATGAGAGCGCAAGATGGGAGTGAATGATCTTTATCTCATTAATGACAGAGCATAGAATATACATATATATATATATACACACACACACAGAGCCTCAGGGTCAAGACTTGAACTTAACTAAGTGTACTGACAAGCAGTTACATAAATACAAGCTACTTTACTACTCTATTATTCCCCTTCGATTTGCATTGTTTCAAAAATTGGATGAACGATCGGACTGTTGATTAGAGCCCTTTTTTATAATAAAAAGATCAAATTTTGTTGGAAAATGAAATCACATAAAAAGCTCAGCTTCCTAGATAACCAGAACAACTTGGGCCAATAACGCTAGAGAAGAAAGTAACAGGTAGCAGAGAAAAATAAGTAACAAACATGCAATTACACACAAATACATCACAACACTGAAAATACTATCTGGTTGAGATGCAGAAGAGTGATGGTGGAATCCATGTGATAAGCAATGGAAAGACTCCATACAATAGGGAGACAAAGCAATCCTGAAGTTGAAAGTGTGGCCTAAAAAAGAGAGCTACTGACACCTGCCTAACAAGCGTAAGATAACCTGTGTGGAACTTGACATAAGTGCAAGAACAACTGGTCAAAATTTGCAATGCATGGAATGAAACCCTTCAGTCTTGCTGCAACATCAACCTTCTCAAAGACATAAATTATTGTAAATGAAAAGGATAACCAGACACCTGCAAGATCAACACAATGGTAAAGAGTACGTAGACATAACAAAAGAAACACATCTAAATTATGCAACAGCTCGAATAAAAGGTCGTGAACTAGTTGATAGAAATCCAACTTGGTTGTAGAAACCTTTTATGTGCTTCTTTCCCTATCTATCCAAGGGCTGTGAACACAAAACCATCCCCCATAAAGTTTTAAATCCCATTGCTAAACACCTTGTAATTGTTGTTGAGAACAAACTGCAGCACCTTTTGTTAAGCTAGCAAATGAAAAATAATAGACAAATTGATCATAAGACATTGAACTATAACAAAAAGTAATAAAAATATGTAGGCATGCTTGTTAGACTCTTAAGTAGTTGCATTCATGGCATGAAAAACCAAACTAGATAATTCAGTGAAGTGGTTATGTATTCAGTCCGGTTTGGTGATTTTATTTTTTGGAAGTTGACTTGGGTGACCTGGGAATAACTTGAATTAGACTAGTCAACCCCATGAGCGAGGAGGGTAGAGCAATCTAATATTTTCTTACATTCCAACCCCCCAAACCAACTTTCTTTTTAAGGTTTAAAAAAAACTCAAATGCTTGAATCATACCCTTCTGGGCATAACTTATAGGCATAACTCTCACACCCCGATATTAAGAGTATAATCGGCATGAAATATGAAGTGAACTCACATTTCACAAGCCTTGATTACTAGAAATTAAGTTAAAATAGCGATATATGCAACTTACATATATAATAGTAAAGGTTGTAAAGTTTTAAAGTTTTTGTAGAAATTTTGGCATAATCTTCTCAATGATTTCCAAAATTTCCACAACAACAACAACAGAACTTGCCAAACAGACTAGCTAAGAGACTAGCTCCATTCTAGCAATTTTCACAATAACAAATAAGACTAGAATTTAAGTATGGTGTACATGGAGCACGAACTTATAATTTACAAAATACAAGGTTTCACCAAAAAGAATAATCACCATGTGATTTCTTTTTCCAAAAAGCAAGAAGGCCTTAATGGTCAATAGGAGACGCAGGGCCAGCTATAATATTTGAAACAAAAATTACTGGTGAGTAACATTCCAATTAAAATTTTACACAAACATTTTGAAGATAGAACTAATAGATTTAATCTAAAACAATATCATCAAACATTGAAGCATGTACTTGAACTAAAAATAAAGAACAATTCTTTTTCAATAGTACAATTATGAAATTAAACAATACTAATAAAACGATATAGATTTATCAAGATTTGTATAGGTCATAGAATGTAACTGTCTCAAGTACTGGTACCATTTGATAAAATCCTTTTAAAGAAGTTATACAAAAAATAATAAATTTTAATTTAAATCTAGGAGGGCTTTATTAGAATGAATGACAATAGTGGACACATAGTCCATGAGGGTAAATAACTAATCAAGTGTAGACATACAATCTATGAGGATAAATAACTAGTCAAGCACTGCTAGAAGCACTACTACAAAAATGGCTTTTTATAGTGGTTAAGAATAACTTTTTATAGTTGTTAAATAGACAATGTTGTTACATACATCGGTTACATGGCTGCTGTAAAAAATATATTTTCTACATTAACTAATCATAATTGATGTAGAAAATAGATTCACAAATTAAAAAGAAAAAACTACAACACTTTCTACATCGGTTATAGTCCCAACTACTATAAAAAGTCTACTTTTTACCCTAGTTTCATATTCAACCAATGTAAAAAGTCTACTTTCTGCACTGATTTCAGACCCAACTGCTATAGAAAGTTTAATATTCTACACTGGTTATTACATTAATTGATGTAGAATAGTAATTTCTACACCAGTTATGGCAATAACCACTGTAAAAAGTATATATATTTTTTAAAATAAAAGTGTATTTTTTTAAATTTACCCTACTTTGTACACAAAAATTACCACAGCCAAACCAAACAGCACAATTTATTTATAATTTTTAATATAAAATTAAATTAACAACTATTCAAAATTAAAAATTATCTATAAAATATCTAAAAACTATTGAGTTATCCAAAACTAACTATTGTGTCAACAAATATTTTTAAAAGTTATCAACAACTAACAAACTTCTTAAATTGTATAAAACTTTATACAAAACTCACAAATTCTTCCTAAAATAAGTTGCCCAATGTATGTAGATGTCTTTCCAATTTTAGCTTGAGAAAATGGATCTGAATTGTCAAACATCTAAAATATAATTTGTAAAAGTGGCTTATTAAGTACTCTCAAATAATATAATAAAATAAAACTTTTAAAAATATATTTACCTCTTTTATAAATTCAATCATGCCCAATGTGATAATGTTGAGCATGTGTCTCATAACGTATAAGCTTCACAAGTTCATCTTCATTGATTGTCTACGGCTCTGTATAAGAACAAATCATAAGAAATTAATAAAAAATCTTAGTAATTGAACATATTCATAAAGTATAGCATCACCTTTGGCTCGATCCACATAGGATCCTTGAGCTCATATCTGTGCTTCTATGGGACCACATTTTGATATGTTTTCATTGTTCTATGATCAAGATCACCAAGTTAGTAACTAAAATATTTAGTGTAAATTATATTAAATATTTTTGCACAAATATACTTATAAGTCTATCGTCTTCTTCATTTCCTTCCCAAGTTTGTAATAGAGGGAACATAAGAAGACAATAGTGTTATTCTTTATTGAAAGAACAAACAACTGCCAACGGTCCCTACAAATATGATGAATTGAAGTAAATCCACATAAAAAAACTATTAATTACACATTGATCCTTACGAGTGCACGTATGGAGTCATAAAAACATCTTTCTTGACTTCACATATTCTTTGCTGGAGATACTGGGCTCTTCACTCTGAAGCATTCCTTTTCTCTGTCATGGGATGTAGGCAAAGGAATCTAAACTTATCACCTTTGCCCGATGTGATGCACAAATGATGAAGGTACCTACAGCAATGCAATCATGTTAGATCATGCTATTAACTAATTTTTATTTCCCGGATCTGTCATATAAAAAAACTTGTTTAGCTTGGTTTGTCATGATAAATGACTCATCCCTATAAGTTAGTTTTTTAAGATCAAACATTGTAAATCCTAACTTAGAATCACAAACACTGTTGAAGTTAACCCATTTGCATTTGAAAATAGAAACTCTAAATTTGTATAATTAACCTCTTAAATCTCTTCAATAACCTCAAAATAAGTCCTTGCTATTAGTTTAGGTTTCTTATCTTTTAAGTTAGAGAAGTGAACGGCTTCAACCACCATCATAACCCCATTATTTTGTACTGTACTCTTTTCATCCAAGGATTTTACATAGAAAGAATACCTATTAACATATATACTCTAACGTATAACATCAAAGTTAGGACCTTCTGCCAACCATTTAATTGTATCAGAAATGCTATTTTCATTTAAAACTTTTTACTTGAACTAATCTACAAAAGTCTTATTGTGCTCTTTCAACAATCTTTATTCAGTCATTCTCATTCAATAATTTTCTACCTTTAGAAGTTCTTTTTAAGAAGAAATGTAATCTTCAACTTCATCAATATTATTCAAGATATATAAATGTACTTCTTGTAATTCATCATGACTCATGCTCTTTACTGATACTCCACGTGTGCCTTGACCTAATTGCCTTTTCTCATGATAAGATTTAGGAAGTCCAATTGATTATATACTTGACAAGTAATCAAAACAAAATTCCATAGCTTCTTCAACAATATATTTTTCAATTATCAATGCTTCGAATCGATATGGTTTCTTAACATACCCTTCTAGTATTTTCATGTATCTCTCAATTCGGTACATCCATTATAAATAAATAAGGCTACACAATTTTACCTCCCTCACTAGATGCACTATTAAGTGAACTATAATATTAAAAAAATGTAGAAAGAAAGTACATCTCAAGTTAGCACAAGA